ACACACACACACACACACACACACGCACACTCTGCACAAGCACCTGCTTATTTGCACATGAATGCAGGCAGATGCATGCATACACACGTACATGGGTGCACAGAAAGTAACTAAATTTAAAGTCTGTTGTCAGATCCAATTTGTCTGCAGAGGAGGAAGTACACATCCTAACAATACTTTATCTCTCCCTCTCCCTCCCTCTCTCTCCCTCTTTCTCCCTCTCTCTCTCTCTAGATGTTACAGCCCCAGTTTAAACCACACAGTATCCAGCAGGTGCTGCTGAGGCTGTTCCAGGTATTTTATATTATTAATTCATCTCTCCATTGTTGTGGTGCCTTCAAATCAGCCCGGTCATTACCTCACACTCTTGGGCAAAGGCGGAGGGGAACAGATTTACTTTTATAGGACATTAGGTTTATCAATGACCCAGCTCATTCCCGTTTAATGTATGTGTATATCTTTTTTTATCTATCCTGACTCCAAGCACAGCACTGTGCGCTCACATGAGGGTGTCTGTTGGATTATCTCAGACTGGCTCCCTGTGGGCGGAAGGGGCTTATTTATTTTTAATGGAGATCTCATGAAGAATTCACCTCAGTAGAGACCAGGATGTATGTGTACGATCAGGTCTGAGCTGTAGGTTCGGTTATTTTTTGTCTCTTGCTTTTCAAGTACTAATAACGACCTATTTACTTTCACGAGTAGCATGAATCCAGTCCAGCTTTATTTATATTTTCCGTCTTTTATTGCAGGTGATTCCTGGAAGGTCACCGTACAGCTCGTGGGATCCGGGGCGCTGCCTACGCTGTGCGGTTGTGGGAAACTCCGGAAACCTCCGCGGGGCCGGATACGGCGCCAGTATAGACGGACACAACTACATCATGAGGTGAGGGGGACAGAGGCTGTGGACAGAGGAGCGAAGGGGAAGAAGGGATACAGGGCTGCATTACAGAGAGCAATCCCAAAAGATAGATGAGATAGATGCCAAGACGGAAACACGGAGGAGGAGGAGGAGGAGGAGGGAGACATCTGGAGCGGAGAGGGGAGAGAGTTCATGTGAGGAGAGAACTATACCGTGCACAGTATGTCATTAAAGTTACATCATCGAGTTTGTGTGTGTGTGTGTGAGATGTACTTTTAAAATAGATGATAGATTGAGTTCTTTATTAATCCGAAAGGGAAATTGCAGAATAAAGATGCAGGCAGCTGACGAGTTTCTCTGATACTATATTTAATCTCCGTGTTTAATGCTGCCCGCTCTCCAGCTCTCCCATTGGTCAACAGAGAGGTCTGAGGTCAGAAGCTAGAATGTATAGATCAGGTCTCTGACTTACACAGAGGAACATAAATCCCTTTGTGGCGTCAGTGATGGATCACAGAGGGTGATTGTTGTCAGTTGGCATGAGTGCACACACGCACACGCACACAGCAGCTATATGTTGGTCCGTGCCACGTGCTGGTTACTTTGCAGGAATGCTGAGTATTTTTTGTGGTTGAGACATTAGCATCCATTAGCGACGCACCGTCAGGAGACCTGCGTGGGCCGCCTCCAGCGTCCATCTCCTGTTACACCGTCTCATTGCTGCAGTTTGACCCTCATTTGATTTTAAAATCAGCTTGAACCCACAACGGTCCCACTCACCCCTGCCGCCCACCTCCTGTCGGTCTGCTGCCTCACAAGCATCTGCTCTGTTCACATAAGGGTAGAAGTGCACGGTGGCCATTGTGTTCAGGTGCAGCTTCCTGTTTACTCAAACAACGCTCTCCTCCAGATCTTGAGTCACACGGTAAATACAGCAGAAGTCTGCAGCTCGCAGAGACTCAGCTGCAAACACGTAAACAAAGAGAGAAGAATGATGCCGTGCAAACATACAACTTGTCCAGGAGGCAGATGATCCTCAGCAGCACAAGAGGAAGAAACTAAAGGAGACTGAAAGTCTGACAAACCATTTTATGTTTTTCTTGTGTTATATGATGAAGGCAACAGTTCACCCTGTTGGATCTAAACCTAAAGCCCAAACAAACATACTCATGTAAGTTTCAAAGATGTTGTCGTGCACAAAGACAGAGTCAGACTAGCAATTTTTAAAGAGTTTAAACTCATTTAAATAAATGTTAATGCAGAACCATTGTGTACAAACGCTAAGAACAGATTTTCTTCATATCTGCTTTATACGATGATGTGAGTTTTGTGTTCCACCGTCCGAATCGACACAAAGCTGCTGTTGATCTTTTCCAAAAATGTTGGACTGTTCCTTAAAGAGTATCAGTAACTATACGATACCTTAAATATATAATCACAGTATTCACACATTGATAAGTATCAATAAGAAAGGAAATGAATTCAACAGCATTTAAATTGAAACTCTGGGTATATTCAGTGAATCCTAAATCAATCAAAAAGAGGTTTGTTA